TCAGGATGTTTTACTAATCACATTTTTATTTTCAGTGTTGTGTTAGGGTTGGTTAGGTCGGGTTTTTTATTCATTTTATAATTTAGAATCAGGGACGATTCTGATTCTATATCATTGATCGTTGTAACATGCTAAATTATGAGAATACTTTTTGGGAAGGATTGACGTTTTTGGTCAATGATTCTTTTCATGCTCGCACGTAGGGAATGTCCGACAGTAGGCATCAAGAAAGAAGAGGCAAAATGCCGAAGAGGCCCCCACTTAATTGTGGCTCAAGAGGGCAACTATGGACTCAATGAGTTATTTGCAAATTCAACAGCATGGTTGAATTTTTGCGAATAGCTCKTTRRTCATTTGATATTTTGATTGTTTTATTATTTTGCTCGTCAATAATTTATAGTGGTTTTTTAAGAATGGAAGTAATTAATATAGTTTTCTTTCTGTTATAGGGGAACGTCGTTGGAATTACCACTACCAACTCTATCAGAGATTTTGATTGCCAAAAATAAATCGAGTATTTAAAAAATTTGTTTTTACAGAGTACAATTCCATTCAGAATTCCCCCTCACTTTAATATCATATCATTTTTTCATTTCCAATGACCCCACACCTTTCATTTTTCATTCTTCATTTCATTCGTAGAAACTAATTATTTTATAATATTTTTTAATATATCTTTTTTTTTTTCTAGGTATTAGAAACTTAATTTTCATTTTATTTTGTTTCAGAATATGATTAATTCTAATGCACTTGTAAGTGCATCGGGTTTTTCATCGGGAACTTTCCCTTCGATGCATTCATTGCATCTTTTCTCCAAAATAATCATTTCTTTTTCTTTTTCAGGTTCGTTTTGAGTTTCTTTTTTCAGTGGGTAGCGGGTAGATCTTTCTTTGGTTTTTTCACAAAGAAAGTTTTACTTCAGGGATGCGACCTTGCCCTACGCGAGCCATGATTTTCTCCTACCTCCAATAATTGGGAGAAAATTATGTCCTTACCTTAAATTTCACCCCGCCAACCATCACTCCTTCCCTACTTCTTTATTTTTCTTTTTGTTTTAGGTTTCTTCTTGTTCTAGGTTTCTTATAATAATGGAGTATTCAAGAGGAAAGGAATATGGACCAAAAGAGGACTGAGTTGTGGTAAACGGGTTGTATTTTAATTTACTAATTACTTTTCTTATTCACAGGATGAATTATAAAGACGATGCAATATTACATCCAAGAATAATAGGAAGCAGATAATAAGAGGACTATAATTATAGTAAAGGGTAGTATAAAATAATTACTTGCAAAAATATTTAAAGTACTTTAATTCTTTTTATTTTATTCTTTCTAGCAACGTATATGTATGATAGTTATTTTTAAGGTATCCTTTTTTTTTTACAGGTACCACATTTAATATTATATATATTTATTTTTATTATATTATATTTTTTATAGATTAAGAATTATTCAATATAAAATATTCGTAACTTGTAATTTTCTTATGTGCATATATTGAAATTATTCTAAAGTATGTTACTTTTAGGTAACATCCATGATTTTATTAAATTTCTTTTTAGGTTACACTCCTTGTTTATCATTTTGTATTTTTTGATATTTAAAGAAATAATTAAAATAATTCTAAAGATTTTTTATGGTGGTACTCTTATGGAGGGGCCTAAGAGTTAGGTTCATTCCTTTGAATTATATTCGGATGAGGGCATCTTTAGGATGCACATCCCTCTTGGGTCTTCAAAAGCGGTTACCTCCACGAGGTTAGACCTGGGCAATGGATATTACTTTCCATGTAATGTTTATCATATTCTGATATGTTATACATTCCATGGCAAGTGAAATCTAGCTAAAGACTGCTTACCATAAACATTATAATTGTAATTAGTTTCTTTTAATTTTCCAATTATCATATTTTTATTTAATTCCTTTGATTCCTTCTGTCCATTTTATTTGAAGAAACTAATTACCTTATAATGTTTTTTAATAATTTTTTTTTTCTATTTTTACAAGCATTAAGAAGCAATGCAAAATTATTGAAATTTAATTTTCCCACCAATTTTTCTTGTTGCACTTATAGTTCTTATTTTATCCATAGCTGTCGCTGAAATCGCACGTTTTATTCATAAACAGCTGATCGCATATATGTCATATGTATACTGTTACCATAAGTAGATTAAAAAATTGGCTCATGCAACTATAATTTTATAAACTTATAAGTCTTTTAACATTAAAAACAGTGATATTTTTACATTTGATAGTTTTCATTTATTCTATTAGCAATATGTTAAAACGTGCCAGTGGTTTTGTGATATTTCGTCAAATTAAAGATTCAATAGAATATCTTCTTTTGCAAACGTCTTATGGAAACCATCATTGGACTCCACCTAAAGGTTGACTTTGAGACTAATATTTTTAATATTTATATAAAAAAAAAAAAATAAAAGGATGTATTATGAAGAATTTTTGTAGAAAAAAAAAAAAAGAAAAGAAAAACAATTAGAAGATTTTGTTTAATTAGGTCATATTGATGGTGAAGAAAGTGCTTATGAAGCTGCCTTACGTGAAACAGAAGAAGAAGCTGGATTTGTAGAAGATGATTTAAAAATTATTGATAATGCCAATATCGAAATACAATATAATGTTAATGGAGTTCCTAAAATAGTTACTTATTTTTTAGCAGAACTTATAAATCCTAATCAATCTGTTAGAATGTCAAACGAACATCAAGCATATAAATGGTTAAGATTTCAAGAAGCTTGTAATCTTGCTGAATATGCAGAAATGCAAAATGTTTTAAAACATTTTAATGAATATATAGATAAAAACATAAAAAAGAAGTAGGATAAGGTATAATTAATTGCAGTAACAATATGCATTTACAAATATATATTTATTATCAATACAGATTTAATATGTATTTGACATTTTCTAAATTTGATCTAAGTATTCTTTATAAATCAAATTTATGTTGTAATAAATGATAAGTTTTAACACATATTTATAAAAAAAAAAGGTGATTTATAAACTTATACATTTTATATTAGACTGTCATTATAATATATATATATATATATATATATATATATATATATATATATACTGTTATTTGAAATATTATTAAATAGGTTATTAAGAAAATAATTCAATTGTATATTTTAATAAATCTTAACTCTTTTAATTATCATTTTCTAAAAGATACAATTTTTATTTCATATTAAACATTTAGTAATTATTTATTTCAAATGTATTGTGATAATACAAAAGATGTCAAAAACGGAAGTAGATTGACAGTGGCGCCCTCTTAAACAAAGTACACATTTCTTCGTATTCTATTTTCAGGATCATACACATGGTGCATCGATGTATTTTTCAATTGAATATTATTGTGTGATTTGAAAAGTGAAAATATATATTTCAAAAGTTACTTATGATCGATGATCGTTAAATTGAATTATCGATAAAAAAAAAAATATGGAAAATTTAACGGTGTCGCGTCAAAGTTGTCGCAGTTTGGAAATTTTGGAAGATGAAATTTTAGATAGTTTGAAATATTTCAAAATATTATGTACAATTAATCCAAACAATGATGATTTGTACATTGCATTAAAAAATCAATTGCATTTAATACCATCGAATTCAGAATGTGAAATAACTCCTGTATATATTAACAATGAAACGGATAACAAAATTGTTGGGTTAGAATATACTAACATAACTCAACAAGTGTATTGTGCATATGAAAATGGTGACTTAATTACAATTAATGTAGAATCCGATTTAGAATGTGAATTAGTTAAACAAATAAATGAAGGTATAAATTGTATGAAACTAAGTCCTGATCATGAAATTATTACATTAATAACACATAAAGATACCGTAATTACAATGGTATCTAGTTTTGATATTATATCAGAGGTATTCTTATAATCATTTGATTAAATCATATTTATTTGATTATAATTAAATTAATGTCTTTATATTACAATTATTTCATTACAATATGTTACAGGTAGATTTACAAGAATCTCATTTTGGTGATAAACAATTTGTAACAATTGGCTGGGGTAAAAAAGAAACACAGTTTCATGGATCAATAGGTAAAGCTGCAGCAATGGTCAAACCAGTAGAAATAAATAAGAATAATTTTGACGATGGTCTACCAAGAATAACATGGAGAGGTGATGGTTCCATGTTTGCTGTTAGTTTCATTGGAAAAGAAAAAGGTGTTCGTCAATTTAAAGTTTTCAGTAGAGAAGGTATTTTGCAATATACAAGTGAATTGTTGGATAATATGGAAGAGCCATTAGCTTGGAAACCTTCTGGACATTTGATAGCTACAACGCAGACATTAGTTAACAAACATGTAGTATCATTTTTTGAAAAGAATGGTTTGAAACATAGAGAATTTTTACTTCCATTTGAAACAAAAACTGTTTCCGTAAGTCAAAGTTATTTTTTTGTATTTAATTATGGTATACATTTAACAATAATTATGGTACATAATACATATTAATATTTTATCCAGGTAAAAGAAATATTTTGGTCACCAGATTCAGACATTTTGACTATTTGGTGTGAACGAAATAATGATAATAGTACAATATTAGAATTATGGATAGAAAAGAATTATCATTGGTATTTAAAACAAACATTTTATTTTACTAAAGACAATCCCCTGTTATATGGTACTTGGAGCTGTAGAACTAACTGTGGAAAAACATTAATTCTTCTCACGCCACAAAATGTTCTAACTTATTCATTTCAGCGAACGATTAATCATAGCAAAGGTCAACATTTGGAAGATAAAGCAGTAGTTGCTGTTATAGATGGAAATAAAGTTTTATTAACAGGATTTCAAATTGGTATAGTACCACCGCCAATGGCACATCAAACTATAGAACTTTCAGAACCAATCAATGCAGTAGTCTTTGCACCAAATGTAAAAAGTACTGAATCTTTAATAGATACCAATGCTTTCTTTTGCGTACTAAGTAATAATAAATTAGCATTTTTTCAATGTACAAATGTAAGTATTATAACGTAATAATTATATATCATTATAATATTTTGTCGTTATAATATTTGTATGCACATTACTTTTATTATATAGGATTCAAATAATCTCGAATATAAGAATATAAGTATATGCGAAATGAACTGGGATGCAGCAACATTTGATACTAAAAATGTTATACCTATAATGCAACATTTCTCATGGTTTCAAGAAAATATTATATTGAGTTCTATTTCAATAGATAATCAAAGCATTCTATGTGTGATAAATTTAGATCTTGAAAATAATCAAGTTACTGTAAAGTATGTATGCAAAATCTAACATAACATATTCTATCATAATGTTATATTAAATTTTTGCTATTATTATATGTGTATGTGTTCATCTTTTTTTATTAGACAAACACACATTATGGATGCTTTGATTGAACACATAATATGTTCTCCTAATACAGATGAGATATTTCTGATAGCAGAAGGATCCGTTTTAAAATACAAAGATAATGAATTGGATTTCATCGGAATCAAATTACCTAACTTTTCTTCTAAAGTTGATCTAATATACAATGGTACAAGTCATGCGATAATATCTTTATCTCATGGCAATCGTTTATCAATTAATAGTAAAGAAGTTGCAAACAATGTTACTAGTTTTTTCCTACATTCTAAACTGTTACTTCTTACTACTTCGCAACATACATTGATTTGTGTTACTTTGGACGAAGAAGGATTGGAACAATTATCCAAACAAGATTTAACTACTAAACCATGGGAAAATAATATCTTTCAAAAATCTGTTAATGGTTTGTATTAATTATGATTTCATATAGATATATATATATATATATATATATATAATTTACAATAACAAAATTACAGATGTAAATATAAGGAGAATAGAAAGAGGATCTTTTTTAGTAATGGCTCTTTCAAATAATTCCAAAACAATATTGCAAGCACCTCGTGGTAATTTGGAATGTATTCAACCTAGACCACTATCGTTGTATATTATTGGAGAACATTTGAAAAATTGCGAATATTTTTCTGCATTTGATCTTATGAGAAAACAACGTATTAATTTAAATTTAATATATGATTACGAGCCAGAATTATTTTTGAAAAATGTTGACAAATTTGTTAAAGATATTTCAAATCCACAATGGTTGAGTTTATTTTTAACTGAATTACAAAATGAAGATGTTACTACTACATTATATTCAAACTGTTATTTAAAGTGTAAAAAGCAAGGTGCATCAATTGATCAAAATGGAAATAAGATTTCGGTGATTTGCAATTTGCTGAGAAGCATTTTGGAGAAAAAAGACAATGCAGATTATTTTATACAACCAATATTAATTAGTTTGGTTAAAAATCGTGATCAGGAAGGTTTGGAAGGTGCACTTAAAAAGTTGAAGGAAATAAAAACATTGGAGTCTTCGAAAAATTCATCTTCAACAATATCATCCGAAGATGCATTGAAATATTTATTATATTTGGTAGATGTTAATGTTTTATTTGATACAGCATTAGGCATGTACGATTTTGAATTGACAATGTTCATTGCATCAAAGTCACATAAAGATCCTAAAGAATATATACCATTTTTAAATAATTTAAAAATACTCGAAGACAATTTTATGAAATATTCCATTGACATATATCTAAAACGATACGAATCAGCTTTGAATCATATATCAAAGGATACAGAAAAGTTCGATGAATGTTTAAATCTCATACGTAATCACAATATGTATAAAAATGGTTTGAAGATATTTAATAAAGATAGCAAAGAGTATAAAGAAGTTGCACGAATATACGGTGATTATCTTTTAAGTAAAAATAAATTAAAAGAAGCAGCGATAATGTTTCACAAGGCTAATGATTATAATAATGCATTAAATACATATAAATTAGCCAGTTGTTGGCAAGAAGCTATTATGGTTTCAACGTTACTTCAATTATGGTATATATATATATAGAATTACTTAAATTTTTAATTCTTTTCATCCTGATATATATATATATATATATATA